CTGTGTGCCAAGTTTGGTTCAACTCCATCATTGGTGGAGTTCAGAATGCTCTTTGATTGTAGGCGAACTATAAATCCCAGCAACTACAACTCCCAAATGACAAAAATAAATCCCCTCCCAACCCCAACAGTATTCAAATTTGGGCGAATTGGGTATTTGTGCCAAATTTGGTCCAGTGAATGAAAATATATCCTGCATATCAGATATTTACATTATGATGCATAACAGTAGTAATATTACAGTTAGCAACTAAAACAATTTTATGGATGGGGGGTCACCACAACATGAGAAACTATATTCAGGGGTCACGGCATTAGGAAGGTTGAGAAACACTTGGGTTAGTGGGTGTCTTGTGGCCAAATTTGGTGTCAATTCGTCCAGTGGTTTTTGAGTTCTGTTAATCCACAAACCCACAAACGAACATTACATTTTTATTTATATAGATGGACCCTGCTGAGTAAAACCCAAGCACTGAATTTACAATCAAACATTCATCCAACCAACCCCATAGCTCTGTTGCCAGCATACTTTGAACCAGACAGTATGAGTAGGCATGTCGGTCAATGACTGGCTAGCATAAATGAAATACATTGGAGTGGAGGAAAGGGTCATTTGACATCTGCGTTGGGAAATGGAAAACAAGCCCAGAGACCTTCCATTACAATAGCAGTTGGCTGAGTTTGCCTTCGTTGCAGGAGAAGATTAATAGTGAGCTCGTCTGTCAGTTGCTAATCTTCTCATCGAGGATTCCTTGATAAGCTTCTAAGCAATGCCAGGCTTCCTTTCAAAACACAGTTTTAAAAATGGCTGGGATGAGTAGTTGCATGGGAAAAAGGAAAAGATCTTCCACTTCTCCAAGACTGTCAGAACCTCACTGTTTTGCAGTGTTTCTTAATGCTGCGACCCTTTAATACAGTTCTTCATGTAGTGGTGACCCCCAACCATAACATTATTTTTGTAGCTACTTCATAACTGTAATTTTGCTACTGTTATGAATTGTAATGTAAATATCTGATATATAGGATGTATTTTCATTCACTGGACCAAATTTGGCACAAATTCCCGATATGTCCAAATTTGAATATTTTTTAATTTTTTTTTATTGACAGGTCTTCAAGGTCTTGCAAAAGGGGGGAGCGATGGGGGCTTGTCTTATTTCCCTTGGAAGGGCATTCCAAAGGCAGGGGGCCACCACCGAGAAGGCCTTCTCTCTCATCCTCACCAACCACGCTTGAGACGGTAGTGGGACCGAGAGGAGGGCCTCCCCAGAAGATCTTAGAGCTTGCACCAGTTCATAGGAGATGCGATCGCAGAGATAGGCAGGGCCTGAACCAAATGTGAACACTGATGGAGTTTGGGGAAAATAGACCTTGACATTTGGGAGTTGTAGTTGTTGGGATTTATAGTTTACTTACAATCAAAGAGCATTCTGAACCCCACCAACAATGGAATTGGGCCAACTTCCCACACAGAACCCTCATGACCAAAACTATATTTTCTGATGGTCTTTGATGACCCCTCTGACACTCCCTTGTGACCCCCCCCCAAGGTTACCGACCCCCAGGTTGAGAAATGCTGCTGTATTGGCTTGTCCCCTCTTCATGCTTTTCAGTGATGCATATACATGACACAAATTGGAAAAATGGACTGTTGCCTGTTGGCCTGTATAGTGAATCTTACCTAGTAGGCAGGAAAGGAAGCCTGGATAACAGTATGGCAGACCTCCATTTTGGGAGTGTATGCCAGGGAAGCAGCCATCTTGAGTGAGGATAGTTAGAAGATGGGAGGAGTTTGAGGTCTCCTGGGATTGGCTAGAGCAGCTGGGAGGAGCCAAGTCTTAGGAAGGAAAAGATTTCAGCTTCTGTAGAGTTGAGAACTGGGAGCTGGTGGGAGAAGAAGTGTTTTTGAAACTAGGTTTTCAGGGAGAGAGTGTCTGTGTCAGACAGGGGCTGATTAGCTGACAGGAAAGGTCAGGCAACCCGATTTCTTTTGGGAGATAGCAGACATTAGCTATCTAGACTGAGTTAGTTAGCAGGAAGAACTCTGGGAAGAGTTAGCTGATAACTCAGGGGACTACCTAGGATAGGTTAGTCAGAAACTCATTACTTTTTCTCCAAAGTGGAGTGAGGGATTTTTGTTACTAGCAGCTAGATCTGTTTGATTAGCTCTGTATGTAGCTAAGTGAAGAAACTCATTCTAGCAACCATCAAGCTGTAGTACTTTTGTAACAAGTCAAGCGTTCTGTACCTCTCAGAAGTAGTTAGTTATCTGTTTTTATAAATAAATCTTTTTCTATTTAACTTTCAAAAAGGTCTCTATCGTTCCTCAATCTATCATTAATTGTTTGTGATAATTCCAACAGCTTTAACGTCCTGTTACCACAGAAAGGCCTCTGATCCAATAGTCATTATGGGAGCTAAGGGAAGAACAGTGTTGGAAGAAGTGGGAAAAGTTTACCTCAAAAACTCTTTTTAAAAATCCTAAGGCAACTTGGGTTGGTGGCAGCTTTAAACCAAAAGAAGAGTAAAAGACAAGCAGTGTTCACTCTATCGTTACACATATCTATCTACATCTTGCTACCAAAATTGGAGGCACAGGGGTAGGATTTTTGAGGAAAAAGTGAATTTTTGGGGGAAGAACCATCCTGCCCAGACATATTATCAATAAGCCTCCAGCCTCGTGTCACTGGTTGTGATGTTTTCTTTCTTACTGATGTCCAGGGGTGTGATCTATATAAATAAAAATGTAATGTTCGTTTGTGATATTAATAGAACTTAAAAACCACTGGGGGAATTGCCATCAAATTTGGACACTAGACACTATCTCACGCAAGCTATGTCCTCCACTCACAAAACCCCCAAAAACACTTCCCCTCCCCCCCCCCTCAGAAAGTAAGCCTCAGGGAGGGAGGGGGGAGGGAAGGAGTGCGTGTGCACAGCAGGCTCCCACGGGAGGAGGCTCTCCGTTCAGGAGCAGGAGGAAAAGCCCTCTTCCCCGCAGGCCTGCCTCTCTGCCGCTACCCTTTCCATGCTGCCTAGGCTGCTCTGCCTCTCCAAAATTCATCTATCCAGACCCGACTAATCTACTGCCGATGGGATGGATTTGGGAGAAAGGAAACTCTGCGGAAGCAAAAGCAATCAAGCTCAGAGCAGATCCATTGATAACCCAGGCTCAGAATACAGAAACCCCAATCTTATTCATGTCAGGCAGGAAGACCCCATTCAAGCCCTCCCAACAGATGGCCATCCAATTCCAACCCCATTCTGCCAGGCAGGAAGACACCATTCATTCTACAAATATAGCATCCCAAGCATATAGGATCAAATAGCATAATAATATAATAATAAATATATCAACTCTAATAGGCTTTAAGTCAATGATATGACACATAAAAATCTATCCCAAAGAACTACAATAAATTGAACTAGCCCAACAAATCCATACAGCTATGTAATAATTGGCAATATATATCTATAAATTTATATAACCCTTTCAAAATATTTTTGATAACATGTTAATTATAAAATACTTATTTAATTTTAAAATATTTAATTATTTTCATTTAAAATATTTAACTTTTGAATACTTCATTTAGATATTTTAAGTTTAAAATATTTGTTTAATTTAAACATATTTTAATATTTTCATTATAAAATATTTAATTCTTTAGTTCTAAAATATTTCATTTACATATTTTGATTTTAAAAAAATATTATTTACATTACATTATTTTATTTTAATATTTCAAATTTAAAATATAAAATGGTTTTAATTTTAATATTATTCCTTTAATTTTAATATTATAATTTACACATATTTAATATTTACATTTAATAATACTTTATTTTAATGTATTTTATTTGGTTTAATTATGAAATATTTAATTACTTAATTTGTTTTTAAAATAATTATTTAATTTTAATGTTTTAATTTTAAAACATTTAATTGTTTACCTTTACAAAATTTAAATCTAAAAATACTTTATTTATTTATTTATTTATTTATTTAAAAGTTTTCTATACCGATCTTCTCACCTCCAGGAGGGACTCAGATCCGGTTCACAACATGTGTTCATATACAAAATACAAACCACACAATGCATTATCATTACGCGTTAAAAACATATTACAATACAACATTGTCATCATCACAATTACACAGCTAAGTCGTCAAAAACATTGACAACTACTATGACAACTAACAAAAAAGCTAACCGCGAACAAATCCTGTTAGTATTTTAATTTAAAAAGTATTTAGTTGTTTACTTTTCAAATATTTTCCATATCACCAAGCTAGGCCACAGCAACGAGTGGCTAGGAGGGAGGCCGGGGAGGGAGGGGGATCGCCGGGGAAGGAAGGGGCCCTTGGATGCCACGCACGGAAGGACGGGCGGGCGCGGGAAACCCTTGGAGGGATAGGAAGGGGCCCCAAAGGCCATCCAGTCCAACCTCATTTTACAGTAAAGGAAGACACCATCAGAGCCCTCCCGACAGATGGTCAACCAGTTGGAAGGGAGTCCCAGAGGCCATCCAGTCCAACCCCCTTTGTCTGTCTGTATGTCCATCCATCCTTCAATCCATCAACCACTCCATCTACATACCTACTACCTACCAACCTATCTATGTTCTATCCATCTACCTTCTGTTCCATCTATCAATGTCCCCAATAGATGTCCCTTCCATCTATTGCTTCAACTGGAATTCCTCTCTGCTGTGCTGAGGGCCACAGTAACGCGTGGCAGGGTACAGCTAGTATTATATATAATCCTTTACAGTGGTGTTCAGCTGTGGGATATATTAGAGTATATACGTTATAATTGGTGCCAGTGGTGGGATTGATATTTTTCATATTCGTTACAGCCTGCCTTACATAAAGTAGAAATTTGAGAAAAATAAGATTTCCATGCTCTGACCCCGATGTTTTGTTTTGGAGAGCCTACTCAAGCTTATGATGCTCTTCTTCTAATATCTCTTCTTTTGCCTCTTTTTCTCGTTGTTTAGGGACGATCGGATTCTTCGCTTGCTTCTGGTTTGTTAGCAAAATATACAGCGTTGTGAAAGTGGACTGAAGACTCTCCTTGTTGCTCATGAACATATCTCCCTTCTGTCGCCGGAAGATATCTATATATATATATATATGAATATATATTTTTAATCATAAACCAAGGATCAGCGTTACATCTTGGTGGCATAAGGCAGGCCTCAAAGGGAGCAGGGCCTGTGGAACGTGGACAGCGAAGAAGAAGAACTTGACTTGAAGTGCTTTTTGCAAATGCCACCTTCATTTGTTTTTGTTTTGCTTTATTATTTGAAGCTGAGAGAATAAAACAAGTTCAACAGTACAGACGTGAGCATTACAGTCCCCTTTCCTCACTTGCTGAACCCTTCTTTCTGACTTTTTCCCCTCTCGACCATTACTTGGTGATTCTGTCATGGGGATCGGTCTGGTGAAATCTTGTGTTTAAAAAGAGAATGAAAACTTTTAAAAAGTAAGTCCAACTCGACATAATCTCCTTCTACAAATGTACAAGCACTTAATGTTGAGCGCAGACTTCTGGGGAAGGAAAACTTCCATCATCTTCGTTTTAAATAAAACTACAATTACAGTCGGTTGGTTTGTGTGGCTGTGTCCATTGCCTGGAGATCGGTTGGCGTTCCCAAAGATACGTAATACACTAAGATTTGAACTGTTTGCGTGCCTGTTAAACTGTATAAGTCAGGTATGGGGAAACCCCGGCCTGCGGGACGAATGTGGCCCCTTGGGCTCTTCTCTCAGGCCCCCTCTCTCATCATCGTATCCTTTCCTATCCCTCTTTCCTTCCCTCTTTCCTCCATCCTTCCCTCTCTCTTTCTCTTTCCTTCCTTCCTTTCCTCTTTCCTCCATCCTTCCCTCTCTTTCCCTTCCCTCCCTCCCTCTTTCCTTCCGTTTCCTTCAGCCTTCCCTCTTTCTCTTTCCTTCCTTTCCTTTCCTCCATCCTTCCCTCTCTTTCCCCTCCTCTCTCTCTTTCCTTCCCTCTTTCCTCCATCCTTCCCTCTCCCCTCCCTCTCTCTTCCCTCTTTCCTCCATCCTTCCCTCTCTTTCTTTCCTTCCTTCCTTTCTTTTCTCTTTCCTCCATCCTTCCCTCTCTTTCCCCTCCCTCCCTCTTTCCTCCCCTCTTTCCTCCATCCTTCCCTCTCTCTCTCTCCTTCCTTTATTTCCTCTTTCCTCCATCTCTGTCAATGCCCACCAAACCCTCCCAGTATTTCCTGTTGGTCATGGGAGTTCTGTGTGCCAAGTTTGGTTCAATTCATCATTGGTGGAGTTCAGAATGCTCTTTGATTGTAGGTGAACTATAAATCCCAGCAACTACAACTCCCAAATGACAAAACCAATCCCCCCCCCCCCCCCGACACAAACCTCACCAGTATACAAATTTGGGCGTATCGGGTATTGGTCTCAAATTTGGTCCAGTGAATCAGATTCATTACATTACGATTCATAACAGTAGCAACTTTAGAGTTATGAAGTAGCAACGAAAAAAATTATGGTTGGGGGGTCACCACAACATGAGGAACTGTATTAAGGGTTCGCAGCATTAGGAAAGTAGAGAAACACTGATTTTGATAGTCCTCCAGTTGTCTAGAAATCTCTAATTCCTCCATCATGACTGAAGCAAGTTGACCCTAAAGTCATTCTGGAGGATGTAGAGATCCCTAGGTATTGAAATCAGGTGTTTAATGAAATTCATAAATAATCAAATCCTCAAAAGTGAAGTGGAGAGACAAGTGATCCATATTAAATGGAAAAATGCACCATGCCATTTGTTGGATGCCAAGGATATTGCTGATCACAGCTATATAGGAAATGGCTGTAAACAGTTGGAACGTTGTCCATCCACCTCAGTTGGTCCTAGGTGCTCATACTGCCTATTACAGGGAAAACCAGCTGATCCCTAATCCATCTAAAACACAGACATGTGCTTTTCACCTTAAGAACAGACAAGCATCCCGAGCTCTGAGGATGACCTGGGAAGGAATCCCACTGGAGCATTGCAGTGCACCCAAATACCTGGGAGTCACTCTGGACCGTGCCCTGACCTACAAGAAGCACTGCCTGAATATCAAGCAAAAAGTGGGTGCCAGAAACAATATCATACGAAAGCTGACTGGCACAACCTGGGGATCACAACCAGACACAGTGAAGACATCTGCCCTTGCGCTATGCTACTCTGCTGCTGAGTATGCATGCCCAGTGTGGAACACATCTCGCCACGCTAAAACAGTGGATGTGGCTCTTAATGAGACATGCCGCATTATCACGGAGTGGCTGTGCCCTATACTGGAGAAATTACACTTTAGCCGGTATTGCACCACCTGACATCCGCCGGGAAGTAGTGGCCAATAGTGAAAGGACCAAGGCAGTGACATCTCCTGCTCATCCCTTGTTTGGGTATCAGCCAGCACATCAACGACTTAAATGAAGAAATAGTTTTCTAAGATCTACAGAGACACTCGCTGGAACACCTCAGCAAGCGAGAGTCCAAAAGTGGCAGGTTTTCTTTTCTTTTTTGGGTTAGAGATGTAGCAATTCCTTTTTTTAATTATTTTTTTTATTAACCACAAAAGAAATGCTATATACATCAAAAGAGGTGGAACAATATAGTGAAAGAAAAGTAGGAAATAAAGATGTCTAAGTCTTAACAAAAACTACTTTGTTCTTTTCTTTAAGCCAGATTCTTTACAGCGATTCAACTTGTTCTCCTCTTTTTTTTTAAACACCTAATATTTTTTTATTGCATTTATATTCATTTCATTACAAAAACAATCTCTATAATTCATATAATTCCTTTTTTTCCCTTTCCCCAGTTGTGCTACCCCTTGTACTCCCCATCTCCGGAGTTCTTCTTTTCTTTATACTCCCACCAGAACCTCATTTCTTCTGGTGGGGGTTGGTTCCCATCTTCTTTCCTTGGTGTTTCCTCAATAAATATTTTCCATATATTTTCAAAATCATTATCCTTCCTTAGGCCTTTTTTAACTTTTAAATTGCATGTTAATTTGTCATTTATTGCTAATTTCCAAATTTCCTTGTACCATTCTTCTATCTTAATTTCCACCTCTCCTTTCCAATATTTTGCTATTGGTAGCCTTGCAGCCGTTAACAACATTGTTATCAGATTCTTTTCATTTTCCTTCCATTCATCTGTATTGTAAATAGATAACAATATAGTCGCTGGATTTATATTAATTTTTTTCTTCATAATACTTTCTATTTCTACGATAACTTTTCCCCAGAAACTCTGTACATATTTGCATTGTCACCACACGTGGATATTAGGCTTGGGTAACCATGGAAAAATTTGGTTCTAACCTCGTTTCGTTTTTAGGGGGCCCTTACGTTTCGTTTTTTTTAATAATTCCGAAATTTTCCTTTTAAAAATTTCGAAATTTACGAAATTTCGTAAAAATTACGAATCGATTCGTTAATGGCGGACGAGATTGCGCAATATGCTAAAAAAACCTCCAAATGGGACAGGGGGAACTTCTGAAGCTTCCCTCTCTCCCTGTTGTTGACTGTTGGTGTGATAAAACAAACAACAACTATAAAACTTGCACCAGACATGCGAAAATAATTACGAAATAATTTCGAAATAATTTTGAAATAATTACGAAATAAATTGAAAAAATTGTTTCGAATCTTAATTACTCCTCACACTATTCCTGCGTGGCTCAATACTGGATCGTAAGCTAATTTAAATACGAATTAATAACGAATTACGAAATTAACGAACGAAACCGCCCAAGCCTAGTAGATATACGTACCCCTTTCTTGGCAACCCCTCCAACAACTCTCATTATGTATCTTTGTTGGGGTCAGGTACCATTTCCATACCATCTTATAGTAGTTTTCTTTTATCCTAATTGATAAATTCTTGAGGTGTCTTGCTCTCCATAATTTTTCCCAATTCCTTTCTTCAATTTTTATTCCTAGTTCTTCTTCCCATAGTTCCCTTGTTTGTATCCCTTTTCTCTCTCCTTTCTCTCTATTAATATTTTGTATATAATACTTAGTTTTCTAAGATCTACAGAGACACTCGCTGGAACACCTCAGCAAGCGAGAGTCCAAAAGTGGCAGGCTCAAACCCAGAACCTCAATCAATGGTTGATACCAAATGAGAGACTCCCCCTTGCGCACACAGAAAACTGGGCGACTTGATAAAAATTTGAAACCTAATTGTTGGAAATGCGGAATAGCAGAAGGAACATTCTACCACATGTGGTGGCATTGCAAAAAGGCAAAAAAAAATATTGGAAAGAAATCCAAAAAAACCTACAAAATATTCTGAAAATTAAAATCCCTCTAAAACCCGAGTTATTTCTATTGGGCATAACGGATATGAAAATTGAGGAAAATATAGATAAATTGATATTCCTAACCACAACGGCAGCTAGGATGTGCTACGCCAAAAGGTGGAGAAAGGAAGAAATACCAACTATAGAAGAATGGAAAAAGAAGATATTAGATATTAAGAATATGGACAGTCTCGGTTATCTAATACAAAGAAATAAAGGAGTGGCAGAGAAATGTACAGATTGAACACTACTAAATGAATATTTAATGCAAGAGAAGCAAGAGGACAATAAATAAGAAGAAAATAGGTATAATAAGAATAATAAAAGTATAAACTTGTAAATCAACAATTATGTTCAATAGATTAGCCAAAAATAAAAAATGAAAAAATGATATAGACTCAAGAAAGTAAGAAGGAAGAAGAAAGAAAGAAAAGGAAGAAACCTTCCTCAAGGAACCCTGGAAGTCAACTTGAAGAAGAAGAGACACCCTGAGTGGTGAAAGACCACTTCTTGACTTTTCTTTTTTTTTAACTTTCTGTGCTTTTCCCCTCCCCTTTCTTTCCCATTGCCCTTTTCCCTTTTCTTTTCCCAAACTTTCACCTCTTGTTTTCTTTTTCTTTCTGATTTTTAATGATTATGTAATAGAAAAATTTCAATAAAGAATATATTTTAAAAAAAGAAAGAAAACTGGGCGACTTGGAAGGCGCTGAACAGACTGCGCTCTTGTACCACGAGATGCAGATTCCACCTTAAGAAGTGGAATCCTCGACATGTGAATGTGGAGAGGAGCAAACCACTGACCACCTGCTGCAATGCAACCTGAGCCCTGCCACATGCACAATGGAGGACCTCCTTGCGGCAACACCCGAGGCACTCCAAGTGGCCAGATACTGGTCAAAGGACATTTAATCAACTACCAAGCTTGCAAACTTTGTGTTTTGTCTGTTTGTTTTGTTAAAAATGTAATACAACTGTCTGGTTGCTCCTCGCACGATAAATAATAAATAGTTGGGCCTAATCTGGCGAGCATCTGCTCCCTCCACTTTCCAGGCAGATGAAAGATGCCATCATTTGAAAACCTTCCATGTTTTGCAACTAGAATGCACTGCTTTCCTTCCGGAGCTGAGGCATTACAATCAGCATGAACATCTGTAGTAGCCAAGATAATTTATGGTCTGTTTGCTACCAGAGGAAAAACAGTTCCAAATCTTGCGGCATTGAAAACCCAGATTTATAGCCCTAATGGCCCCAACGGCCTCTGGGTGATTTTTGCTTGCC